ACCTCAGCAGTTACTAAATCAAGTTTGATGATGACTATTATAATATATAGCTGATAATCATTTGAATAATTTATACCTTCCAAAGGCTTTACAAATTCCTAACTTGAAAATTGTGAAACCTTGTGAGGCAGTTGAAGTGTGCAGCGTTGAATCTTCTGTTATGATATGGATGCAGGTGTCCATACCTGTTCAGGAGGAACTTCTTTGCACAGTGTCATCTTTGAGGTGAGAAGTTTTTCCTATTAGTAGAAATTAGCGGTTAATATTTAATGATTAGTGTACTTGTCGGCCATGCCAGTGGCCCCGGCTACAAATCCCAGTAAATGTTGCTAGACCAGCATTGCTGCATCATCCAGTTGCCGAAAAGCTGAGTGATATTGGTTCTGTTTGCACCAGCACAGTATCGAGGATGGTGGAACAGGATGTTTTTTTAGAAAAAAAAATAGGGGAGAAGGGGAGGGGGTATATTGTAAAAAAAAATAGTTTTTTTTAGCCTTGATGGTGTCATAATTTGCCTATAGCCTTTAAAAGTCACGTAGGGGTCATGCAATTGGTCATGAAAATGTTTTTTAATGGCCAATTAAGTGAAGTTGTTTAACTGCTTTATTCATCACTAATACTCTCCTTAATGTGTTTCTTGAAAAAGATCTTTAATGTTAATTAATATTTTTTTTTCTCAATTTATTGGTGACCTGTGTAAAGTGTGGGTTTTTTCGGAATTTCTGGGTCTTAGGTTTCTTTCAAAATGGTGCACGATTTAATTGTTTCTAAACAGTATGGTTTGGCGGTTAACCCAGCCTCATAAAAATAGTTGTTAGATAATTGACAGTACAGTGCAGACCGCTTAAGGTGACCTTGGATAAGGTGAATTTATGTTGTGAAGAACAATTTGGTTTTTTCCCAGCAATTTTTCTCGCTTGAAGTCTTATCTGGATAAGAGGAATTTTTGATGAGAAGAACTATTTCTTCTATATTTTTTTCTCCTTATCAGATCTACACTGTATTTTCTCAAAGAGTCAGATGGACAAACTAGAGCGCATACAGAACGCAGCTATGTGGGTAATTCTGGGTTGCACCAGAGACACCCCAGTCGTGTGTATGCCATACATCCTTGGTTTGCCGACTGTTGGAGGTAGGCACAAAGTGCTGCAGGCGAAGTGATATCTCATGGTAGCTGCAATCACAGACCACCCTTTTCACGAAGCTCTGGGTGCAGTTAAGGGTCAGCGGCTGGTAAGAGGGAAGTCATGGATGGCTCAGACAGAAGACTAGATCAGACAGGTTTGCATCCTTGAGAACATTAGGCGAGGAGAGGAGTGGGTCAGACTTGTGTAGGTTCATAATTACACTGAGCCAAGAATGCAGAAATGCAGGTGCCACGGAGGTGGAAATTCAGCATTTAATTCAAGATAATGCTCGCTCAGAGGATTTCATTATTTACACAGACGGATCAGTGTCAAGAGGCAAAATAAGTGCTTGATGTTTCTTAGCAAAAGTTATTGATCGACGTTTGGTGCAGGAGAGCCTAGCATATGATATCACAACATACAGCTTAGGAATAGAGGTGGAGGCAGTCACTGCAGCTTTCCGCTGGCTAGAGAACATGACACACACATATCGTGATTGTAACTGACTCAGAAAGCATGCTGAGGAAGATCAGGACAGACATGCTTCATGCAAAGGGGCATGCCTCGCTGCAGAGGAAATGGTTGAGGAGTATTGTCTGGATTTTTTCACCAGGGAATGACGATGTGTTGGGAAATGAACAGGCATACAGAGTGGCTGGCTCTGCTCGGCTTGGTGGAATACTGATGCATGATAAAGCAGACGTGGTTAGTGCCTTGTGGGAGAGCGTGTATAGTTTGGAGGAGCAGATGGATCACCAGTCTGGTGAGACTGATGCAGGAGAAAGTGACGAGAGGTTCTGGCGGATGCTTGAGGCTCAGAGGAAAGGCAAGAAGGACGTTTAATCAGAATGCTACTGGCACCATTAGTATCAGAACTCTTTGCTGGCTGCTGAAGATGGGGACGGAGTGCTTATGGGAATGCCCTTAGTGCTGTAATTTCGCTTCTTGAATCAAATCAAATCAGATCAAATCACTGTATTTTCTGGGATACACTGTATTTTCTGGGAATTATCTGGGAAAGAAAGATGAAATAGAAGAGATCTGGCTACCTTACCTCTCTTTTGTTATGACTTAAAATATTTGATAGCCCAACACTTCACATTCCATTAGCTCAGTATATTATGAGGTTACATTATTAATCTGAACATTGATTCAAACTGGCTCACAAAGTTTCATTTATTGGAGACCACAATACTCTGGCTACATCAGAGATCACAGTGATTTAGATTAAAGGTTAAAGTTGAGAGGATCGACTTCATTGTACCAGGTTTTATCCCATACGGCTCAGTCTCTCTCCGCTAAATGGCTAGCTGCCTCTGAAGCTCCGCCGGCGATCTCCAGGGATTTTGGTAACAATTTTACTCATGAACTGAAGGGTTCAGCCGTGAAACAAACCCATGACCTTTGGAGCATGAGGCAAACCACTTGACCACTTCGCTATGGAGACACCCAATTATTTAGAAACAACAGAAATAAAAGAAATGGTTTATGACACTGAGATACAGCCCAACTAACACAGTAAGTATACAGCAAATTAATTCTGCCAGCAGCTGTCCAAGCTAGGCGACACTGACAAGAAAATCCCCAAGAGTATTACATTCATTTTGACCAAAAGTATGCTCTTTAAAATAAGAATAAAAAAATCTTTGTGTCATAAATTTAATATCTTTTCTGCAAGTGGTATTGTGTGCTCTGTGCAGCTCACTGTACCCCAGCAGTTTGATTTTAATTAATTAATTCTAATAAAAGTCTCACTGGACATAATACTGTATAAACACATAAAAACATAAATGTATGTGTATAATGTCACAACATTAAGTTTGAAAAGAGAGGTTTAGACAGCAATGGTAGCTTTCCAATGACTTGAGAATAGTACAGTTATGCATGCTGTAATTGTAACAGGCACACAGAGCATGTTTAAAACATGCAGTGACTGATGTCCTACCGATAGAGTGGCTCATATCATTTAATAAGACTCAGGTCTGGGGTATGTCATGGCTTTCTTGCCCAGAACATTCTTGTTTGCATTGTAATGAGCAAGCTGATAGAATGGCAGTGGCAGCTCTTCTGTGTGGTGAGATTATTTAATGATAATGTGGCCATGTTAAAGGCTCTCCAGGATCAAGGGATCAGTGCAATGGAAGAAACAGAGTACCCATACCTCTAAAAACTGATTCTGCAGGGAAGAAGCAGAGGATCTGGTCAGTTTTCAGTCTGCAGGGGAAAGGACAGGCAAACTTTTAATTAGTTTGAAACTGGTACCAAAATACAAGAATTCTTTGGTCACTCCTGACGAAGATGACAGAATTTTGTTAAATGAGACTCGTTAAAAATATTCAGTCATGCATGAAATGTTGATTGGTACACCTGAATAAAAGTCAGTCACACTGAAAATGAAAATCCTGACCTGCACAGAATGTGGCAGCTGCACTATTCATGCAGTTCTAAACATAAGGCCCAAGACCCTTTTATCCTACACTGTCCTAAAAATTTGACAAAACAAACATTAGAAACAGTGCCAAAACATGTATAAATAGAAAGCAATTTTTGAGTTAAATTGCTTTTAAAAAAACTGAATATATGCACACTTTTTTTTAAAGTTAAAGTAAGTTTATGATTGATGGTAATATATCGGGGAGCAGCCATTGTGTAGTAGCTAGAAAGCAGATTTGAAAATCAGGCATTAAAGTCTGAACAGAGCTGGACCTCTTTTAAGCAAATAATCTTAACTCCCAGGTCAACCCAGCTTTAAATCAGTACCAGGTATAGTCCTGGGAAGTAAAGGCAGTCGATGTAATGTTGACGTATCACCCACTCAATGCCAATTGGTCTATAAAATATTGGTCTAGCACTGTATGCCCCATACACCCGAAACAGTGAAAAGGGTTCCTTTACTGTTACTAGTAGTCAACTGAGGCCCATGGTAAAAGTTCCTTGGAAACACAGGAACAGTGCAGAAAAGCTAACAGATCAAGTTATCCTTGTCTGAAAAAAAAGAATGCAAATAGAAGTGACTATAGGATCTAGCTGACACACAATGATCAGAAGAATGGCTAGATGACACACAATGATCAGAAGAAAGGCTAGATGACACACAATGATCAGAAGAAAGGCTAGATGAACACACAATGATCAGAAGAAAGGTTAGATGACACACAATGATCAGAAGAAAGGTTAGATGAACACACAATGATCAGAAGAAAGGCTAGATGAACACACAATGATCAGAAGAAAGGTTAGATGACACACAATGATCAGAAGAAAGGCTAGATGAACACACAATGATCAGAAGAAAGGTTAGATGACACACAATGATCAGAAGAAAGGTTAGATGACACACAATGATCAGAAGAAAGGCTAGATGAACACACAATGATCAGAAGAAAGGTTAGATGACACACAATGATCAGAAGAAAGGCTAGATGAACACACAATGATCAGAAGAAAGGCTAGATGACACACAATGATCAGAAGAAAGGTTAGATGACACACAATGATCAGAAGAAAGGCTAGATGAACACATGATCAGAAGAAAGGCTAGATGACACACAATGATCAGAAGAAAGGTTAGATGACACACAATGATCAGAAGAAAGGTTAGATGACACACAATGATCAGAAGAAAGGCTAGGTGACACACAATGATCAGAAGAAAGGTTAGATGACACACAATGATCAGACTGGTGAGATACAGCACAGAGGATGGGTGGAAATGTTAATTATTCTGGCAGTCCAAGGTATTCACAACATTCTTCCCAAGAACCTTATCTCAGTTGCCTCCAGACTCTTCTTAGAACTGGTAAATGTGAACTGATTTTGGAGACATTTCAAATTATGCATAATTACTAAGAGGGAATAAATATTTCTTTGCAGGTACTGCAGCAAAAAGGCCTCCAGTACGTACTTCATTGCAGTTACAGATAAGCAGTCGGATGGTAGGTTGTTTACTGTGATGTATTTGTTTACAAGTAGTTTACAGCTGAACAATTAAGTTTCGATATATTTATTTGTCTTTGGTGGCTGGCTGCCCAGGTGGGTACATGTTTTATAATTAGTTCAACCGAAGAAATTATGGATGATGTGTGTTAAGTTAGTGTCATATTCACTAATAAAACTTATAACAATTTTCTTAGTATTCATCATCATTATCACCAGGTCAACTTTCATGCATGATCATGCCTCTCTCTGTATCATTTCAGTTGCTTACACCCCTCCATGTCATGATAAAAGCTGACTTCTCACACTGTCTTCCTCTGTCTCTTTCCACAAATCTTTCTGGTTGTCACGGCATGATTTATTAGTGCAGAATAAAGAGTTGTGAGGTAAAGGATCTTTAACGTCTGTCGAGTATTGAGCATATGATGCTAGACTCATATTTTTATAGACCAGTTAGCAGTCTGTAGATGATGTGGTCAAAATTACATATTCTGCCTTTACTTCCCAGGATATTACCCATTTTATGCTGGGTTTGCCTGGGAGCCAGGGTAAATTTTGAATGAAATTCACCTCAGTGGGGAATTGAACCCAAGGCCTTTGAGCATCTAGCCACTATGCTAGTACAGCTTCCAACATGAAAGAAGTAGATTTCATAAATCATGTACATCCTCATCCCTGTATGGCTTCCGTCCCCCCACCCCCCTTATGCGTTTTCACTCACTTACTCACTCTCTCACTTCCTCTGTCTCTCCCTCTCTCTCTGTCTCTCTCTCACACTCACACACACATATATGTGTATATGTATATATATATATGTATATATATATATATATATATATATATATATATATATATATATATATATATATATATATATATATATATATATATATATATATGTATATATATATATAACCATTAAAACACAGGGGGGGTTTGAATAGGTTATTGTTGATCACACTACTACATTTCCCACAGTTGACCTGTGTCTGCATGGTTTTGATGATGTTTACATGGAGCCAATCCCTAAGAATACCATATCTCAGAAGTACCAGAAAATGAAGTTTGTGCCACTCCCTGAACTGCCAGGTATTAAATGTAATCAGTTTTCAGTTTCTCATGTTGAAAAAACTGCTGAATAGATTACATCTCACTGAGTAAGAATAAGGCACCTTGGTTTAACCAGAGGGTCTGGCCGGCTCACTACACTCAGAGGAAAGGCAAGACGGACATTTAACCAGATTGTGACCAGTACCATCAGAATTGAAACTCTGCGCTGGATGCTGAAGATGAGGATGGAGCCCACATGGGAATGCCCCGAGTGTTGTGATGTAAATTTTTGACTCAACTCAACTCAGCTGAATGAAATGACATGTTGCATTATCTCACCCCCCCATTCCCCCCCCCCCCCCCCCCCCCCCACCACCCTTCATCCATGTATGTGGCTTTGGGATTATGGACAGTTTCAAAATCCCAGCCTACGAGGGTTTGAAGTTAGCAGCAGGCAGTTTGGTAACAAACTGATTGAATTTGACAGTAACGGGATCATTGAACAAATGCCTATAGAAATTGATAAACATTAAATGGGATGACTTCAGGAAAGGCAGAGAAATGAGAGAAATGACTGGAAACATGCTTGAATTAACAGTTATAAGAAAAAGAATTTAGCAGTTTTTTGGACACATCATGAAGAGAAAAGCAGAACAGGTGCCTGCAATAGGAAACAAATGGATTGAGGAAACAAGGAAGTCCAAAAGAAACACAAAGGTGAACATTGATGGGAGAGGCCAAAAGTGATGCATTGGTTTCCATCCATGAAATCAAAAGGATTGCCCAGCACAGAACAGAATGGAGGACCAGCTGTTGTGTAATGCCACAGCAGGATGATTATGATGATAGTGGTGAGCATGATATTGTTTGGAAAGAAGGGGCAAATTTATGATCATAAAATTGTCAAGTAAAAATGATTCAACGGTTTATAAATGTTGAAACTTGTTTGCGTATTGTGAATAGGATATGCAAGCAACTTTAATTTTGCATGTTTAATTCAGAAATCAAGTTCATTACATTTTACTGGGGTGCAAAAATGTCATTACTGTATGCTTTAAGCAGACTGAAGAGGAGAATTTTAACAAGTGCACAGCCATGTTTATAAGATATTCAAAATTTGGAGCTAGAACTTTGCTCATGTGGACAAGTACCACAAAATACTGAACAATTGCCCCAGACAGTTCGAACAAATCAATAAATGCGTCCCAATGTGGAAGTCAATTTTTTGTTGTTTTAAAACCCCACCCTAGCTATTGCCGGGGACTCTAATATAACCCAACCTATGGGTTGAACAGTGTTTCTGGGACCTGTCCCTGTATGATCCTCATTCGAGTGGTAGCACTTTGTGTCACTGAGTGCTTGTCACTTGGTGTGATGTGCTGGTTGGGTGAAGCATGGGTCAGTCAGTGCTGCAGACATGCTGGTCACATGAAACATAAAGATTCTGCACCTGACCAGTTGCCATTTTGATGCAAATCAAACTATCTTGATCATGAAATGATAATTGTGGCCTTATCTCAAAACCACTGGCTGGATAATGCAAAAATTACTGTATACACAGGTGGACATGTTCAATACCATGAGGTCAAAAGGGAAATTAGAAAACTCAACAATTTACCAGAGTTTAACATTGGCAACTCTAAAGATATTTTTTACTGGTGATATTATTTCTCAACTCCCAGTTCACCTTCATGACTAATTGTTAATTTCTTATGTCACATATTTACTTTTGGTACATAATCAAGAACGGAACAACCGGCTTTTCAATACTATCTTCTCTGTAGGTACTGACAGTGAAGCAACAATGCGAGACACAGTCAATACTCCAGAATCAACTATTAGCCTTGAGTCTGTCAGAACTGCCGAGTACAGGTACAGGAAACATTATAGTTTCAGATAGTAATATTAGAAAATCTTGATATTATATCCTAAAATTGTGGGTCATACAAACACTTGTTAATATCTGTACAAATTCAGATTGTAAAATGAACATCAATTGGTTGTTCATCGCTACCATCATTGTAATAATATGAGAAAAAATTCCAAAGGGAGGAATAACTAAAAAAGTTCTCAAAAGAAAACACTCAGAAATGAACAGGAAAAAAGTTTTATGCAGTTCAGTGCCAGCAGTAGATGAGCACACGTGGAAGCATGTGAGATTGTTAAAGTTGTAAACTCCTATGGAGTCAAATTTTGCAGTTCTTTTGTTTCTCTTGATTAGATGAACTGACAACTGTAACTTTAATTTCACCCCTGAAGGCAAACAAAATATTCCTTCTAAGCTTGCTCATTGTTCTCTGTAGACAAACAAAAGTGCCGGTGATGGTATTTGATCTTGCTGCATTCTAGCAAGATGGTCAAAACACTGGATTTGTTGTTTCTCCATGAATCTAGTACAAGGTGTCATTCCCACAGACTGTCTGATAGTATCATTATTCCCTCGATCTTGTGTGGTTAAGTTGGCGGCTTTTCTCAAATTCTCATTCTCATTAAATGCCTTGCGACTGATCTGGACAATCATACTTCTCCACATCTTATGATCGCCAATCGAATGTAAAAATCTGCTGACATCTCATTGTTGTCCAGGTGGTGAGTGTAATATGTAGGTGCTGATTGTCTACAGTGGGAATAATTTACTCCCTTAGTCTTGTTTATTTGCCTTTGGTTATTTAGTTCACAAAGGAAACTAAGCTTCACTTTATTAATCAGATTAGTGTCTTCTCAGAAAATCCATATAAGTTTCTGCCCAAGCTATCAAACTAGAGTCTGTCTAGAATACCCAGGCTTGTGTCTGCCAACAATATCCAAACTATTGTCTGCTCAGGAAGCCTAGTGTCTCCCTAGAATATCATAACTAGTGTCTACTGAGGGAGCCTCGACTAGTGTCTACTCGAATACCCAGTCTAGTATCTGTCCCGGAAGCCTAGAGATAATATCTGCCTAACATGTCTAGACTAGTGTCAGCCTAGAATATCAAAACTAGTCTACTGAGGGAGCTTAGACAGGTGTATGTCTAGAATATCAAAACTAGTCTACTGAGGGAGCTTAGACAGGTGTATGCCTAGAATATCAAAACTAGTCTACTGAGGGAGCTTAGACAGGTGTATGCCTAGAATATCAAAACTAGTCTACTGAGGGAGCTTAGACAGGTGTATGCCTAGAATATCAAAACTAGTCTACCGAGGGAGCATAGAAAGGTGTATGCCTAGAATGCCTAGACTATTCTCTGCCAGGAAGCCCATACTAGTTTCTTCTTAGAATGCCTAGAGTCTGCCTAGAGTGCACTAACTATTGTTTGGTCAGGAAGCCTAGACTAGTGTCTGCCTAAAATGCTCAAACTGGTGTCTGTTGGGTAAAATGTCAATCAGTCATGGTCTTTACATTCTATCACCCACCTAACCCCATCCCCTCACCCATTTATGCATATAAATCATGAACTGGATGGATACTTGAATTTAAACCCATGTCTTATACCATCATCTTTCACTTTTGCAGTCAAGCAACATGGGTAGGAATATTTGTTAATCTAGCATTAAGTAGGTGGCAAGGACCTTTGTCATTTCATGTGAACGTACAACTTGCTGTCATCAACCCCTTTTCTTCTTGGGAACCTTTTAACTCGTGTATCAGCTCCTCTTGATTAGCAGCTGCTTTGGTAACTGGTTATACTGCATTCTAGAAAAATGCCAAAATCATTCTATTTTCTGGCTTCTCAGTGTGTCTGTCATAAGTTATTCCCACACTTTGTCTTATTTGATTAAAAAGTGGCTTTCCTCAGACATATCTCACAGATGTTCTTCTGTACACAATAGGCTATTAAAAGTTAGTTGTGTATCCTTAACGAGCTGTTGCAGAACCAACCCGTGTTGTTTTTTTAGTTGTTGTGGTTTTTCTAGGCAAATGTAGTTTGCCACTGCTTTCTGAAATGTGGTATTATTTCCTTATAAGAGCGGAAGTAAAAGGGAAATGACTTTTTCATGCTAGTAGTGCATAGGGCATATGGTGCTAGACTTACATAATTTTATAGACCAGCCGGCACTCTGTGGGGGATGTAGTCAATATCATGCTGATACTTTGACTTCCCTGGACATTACCTGGTACCCATTTAAAGTTTGGTCAACCTGGGAGCCAAAGTAAATTTTGATAAAATATTTGCTTCAGTGCGGATTAAAACTCAAGACCTTCAGGCTTTTCAGCTGAACATCTATATCTGTATCATCATCATCATCTTGTAACACTATGTGTAGTTGGGTCACCAGTTTTTGTTGACTGTCTGATCAGCTCTCTCCACCTTTGGCGGTCAGTTGCGATAGTCTTCATGGTTGCATGCCTGAGGCCTGTCCAGTCATTCAGGTTCTGTAACCAGGTCTTTCTTGGTCTGCCTCTTCTCCTCTTTCCCTCTACCAGGCCCTGCAATATTGTCTTTGAGAGGCTGTTAGATTTTATTACATGTCCATACTGTATAAGATGTATTATATATCAGTAATGTAAATGCTATTGGGTTCAGTCCCATCTGCGGGTGATTTGGTAGCAGACCACCTTGCATTGGTATTTAAAAGGGGCTGAGTGGCCTCCAGGTTGCACCTCAAGTGCTGGAGGTCCCGGGGTCAAACCTCGGTGAAGGCTGGGATTTTTTTACGTGGAATTCTAGAAAATTCCTCTGTTCTCTGGGTAGTAAGACCAGATACCCGTGTGTATTATTGGATATGAAAAAAATACCTTGGCAGTTGGAAATTGAAAAATAGTAGCCTAACGGCGCTGCCTGGGCACAATTTGGATTTCAAAATCTATACAAAGTATTTCTGGATCCTCACCGGTGCAGCGGAGTTCGTGCTTGAGTTAGAAGTAGAACAGAGCACTTATGAGTTACACCCACGTACCATGATATTGATCCATTGAATAAACAAACAAACAAACATAAACAGAGGAATCAAATGCTGACCTTTAAGAAAGCAGTGGCAAACTACTCTGCATAAAAAAATGCCTAGCAATACTACAGACAGCCAGCCAGCAAAAACAGAAGTTAAAAGTCAAAGGCTAAAGTTGAGAGGACAGTCTTCAGTGCACCGGGTTTTATCCCATATGGCTTGGTCTCTCTCCACAGCATGGCTAGCAGCCTGCCAAGAATGCAGAGCAGAGCACGAACTCTGTAGCTCTGGCGACGATCCCCAGGGATCTACGTAAAAAAAATGGCGGCAAAGCCATGGAACGACCTCATGACCTTCAGAGCACAAGGCAGATGGCTTGACCACTTCGCCATTGGGGTTGGTTCTGCAATGTCATGTAAAGGATACATAGCTAACTTTAAATGCCATACATGACTTGTAATTCTGATGTATTTCAGCCAGTCATCCACATGTGACAGTGGCTCCAGTGGCATGGATATTCAGGATATCAGCATCTCTGACCTCAAGAGCACCCTTAGTGTCCCTTTGTGTAGTAAATCACCTTTCTTATCTGAAGGTACAGAGACAGAAGGTGGAAAAAGGTAATCAGCTCTCTCTCTCTCTCTCTCTCTCTCTCTCTCTCTCTCTCTCTCTCTCTCTCTCTCTCTCTCTCTCTCTCTCTCTCTCTCTCTCTCTCTCTCTCTCTCTCTCTCTCTCTCTGTCTGTCTGTCTCTTTCTCCCTCTCTCTTTCTCTCTCTCTTACTTTCTCTCTCTCTCTCTCTCTCTCTCTCTCTTACTTTCTCTTTCTCTCTCTCTGTCTGTGTGTGTGTTTATGTATATATATATATATATATATATATATATATATATATATATATATATATATATATATATATATATATATATATATATATATATATAAATCAGTGTTTGTTTCACCCCTATAGACTCGGGAACTACTGAACCGATTTAGCTGAAATTTTCAGGATATGTTTGTTGTGATACCGGATTTTGAACTGTCGTGGTTTGAAATTCAACCTGTCACTGTTAGAGATAGGTGACCACAATTAATGCTAAAATATACGCAACTAATATTTATAACTTTAGTGATTTCTAATTATAGCCACGTTAGTTATTGCGCATGCGCCGTATTTACCATTCGCCGGCGAGTTACGTTCAGCCAACGCCTTCTCTAATACTAATACATAGAGTAGGTCGTGGTACAGCAAACAAGACTATCTCTATATTTGCCACAATAACCATATTAAACACGATTTCTTTTTTTTTTTTTTTAAACAACCTTCGATGGGGGGGGGGGGGGGAATCAAGTACTATCTCGACGACGGCGCATATAGTGACTGCGACATTAACTTCATTAACCGTGTTAGACACGTGCGATTTCTATTTCATTAAAATATCTGGAGTATCTGTCTACGAGAAAACAATTGCCTGCGGTTTTGAATTGTGTTTTAATCGCGACACAGTAGTATGGACTCACATGTCTAATAGTTGAGTTCTCTTTTCGTTGTTCTGATTAAGTGGCTGCTTGGTCGAATGGTTAGAACACTGGGTTCATGTGTGGTAGACCTGGGTTCGAATCCGCAGTCGTTATATTTTTTTTTTTGCCCCGGACTAAAATAATATTCTCATCTGCTCTGCCGTGGTGACAGCACTAGCCATGTTGCCTTAATATTTAAAAAAAAAACAAAAAAAAAAAACAAGTAAATGGGTAAACCATTTGATAATTAAATTTGACCATTTCACATACTTATGATTGCATTGTTAAACTTTCCGATTGCATGGTTATGCTGAAATTTTATAGATTTTCATTTAGATTTAGTTATTTCATCTGTGTTGGAATTTTAAGCTGTGCTGTTTACAATGGCGTTCATTTCCTAATTATGGTGTTTTTTTCCTGTGTTCGTTTGCTTTTCAAGTGTTTTTTTTTCCTCCCAACTACTTCAATGAGGGAAAGAGTTGTCGGTGAATTTGGGGGGGGGGGGGGGGGGGCAAACTATTAACTGAGAGAGCTTTAAGTCACAGTAACTGCTTTACCCAATTAAAGTAGCAGCAGCAGTAATAGTTGTTACACCAGGGCTGTTACACCATAGTGCTCTCATGTGAAGACCGCCAGTGACGGCAAGTGAAATTATACATCCTAACCTGACCAGTCTGTGGCGACAGCACTAGCCATGCGGAACCAAATCTTCTGGCTCACGACTCTCTGTCTACTCCGATGGTAACACAGATAGCAGTGACATTATTTTAGTAGTTGTACTGGTACTTGAAGGATGATGTGGTAAATATTACACTAGCCCTATTCACTACCTTTTACAATTCCTGCTCCCTTTTTTAGTCCAGATGGACAGGGATGTCAATGTCAGTTACAGCAACAACAAAATATCGCCAGTTAGGGATTTTCAAATCCTTCGAAGAGGGAGAGAGCAGTAGTCGGTGGAAGAGGGGAGGGGGGGGGGGGGGGGGGGGGTAATGACATAATTTTGATAAGGGGGAGGGTAGTAGGTGGATTTAGTTGGGGGTGGTGGGGTGGGGATCAAAGACTATCTCTATATCTGAGCAGACAATGATTGTATTAGACACGTGAGATTTCTATTTTCTTTCATTTCCATTTAGCCAAACTATGCCACAGCAACGTGTGGCCGGGTACAGCTAGCTGTACCCGGCCACGCGTTGCTGTGGCGTAATTTGGCTACGTAGAAAATAGAGAACATAGAAATGTGTCTTCGCTTCACGCTAGCGATGTACAGAGCAACAGCTAAACCACAGCTATTAAAACTTTGAGTGGGTAAGGCAGTTACTGTAACTTAAATCTATCTCAGGAAACAGTTTATTTTAACCACCCATCCCCCAGTTCACCTACTACTTTCTCCTTCATCGAAGTAGTTGGAAAAACTACCCTAGTGAAAAGCAACGAAAAGAGGAAAAATACACCATAATTACAAAATGAACACATTTGCTAATTGCTGTAAACAACCCTGCACACGTTGCTACAATAGAAAGTGAATTGAAAGGAAAATCGCTTTAACAAAATGTAATTATATTGGATCATTGTGCCGATTTCATTTATTTAGGAAAAAACAGGTAATTTAACAGTATAAATGTATTTACTGAAGTGCTTTCGGGTAAACAATGTTCTTTGTTCTTCCGTCTGGCGCGTACACAAATAAATCAGAAGAAACCAACATTTTAGTGATTGGGACATTCCCATAAGCACACTATCCCCATCTTCAACAGCTATTGCAGAGTTCCAGTTTCAGTGGTAATAGCAGCAGTCTGATTTGTGTTTGTCTATCTTGCCTTTCCCCTGACTCTTGAGTGTTGGACAAATTTACTTGTCACTCCCTACTTCACTGTTCTCTTTAGACTGATTGTCTATTTGTGCTTCCAAACTAGCAACAGTAATTTCAACAATAATATCCTATTCAACCCATCTGGGTTATAATTGGGATATATAGAGCATTTCTTTTTCTGTTCAATAATGTATATTTATGTCTACCAATTATGTTTGGTTATAAAAAAAATCACATAGCTTATGTATTAATTGTATAAGATTGTAGAGGTATGGACTGTCACATTTAATATACTTTTAATTGTACTTTCAAACAGTTAGTAATTATAATTTATTAATTTTTTGCGGATTTTTAAAGTGATCTGGGATCCCATTATTCTGACTTAAGATATATTAACATCTCATATATGAATCCCTGCTTCCAAACTGTTCAATAGCTCCCAAAGGGCCTCTGTAGAAAAAAACTTGTTAACATGAATTCTAAGGGACAGAAAAAAAATCAAGAGTTCATGTTCATGCTAATTGGGGACTACACCCTACTTGGACCAAAATTGTGTTCATTTAACCGAGTGTTCTTCTTAAGCGAGCTTGTGTTAACAAGTTTTGCTGCATAATATTATGGATAAATAATAAGCACATTGATGTCTTGTCAGAAATTAACTCTCAAGAAGGACTGGCTACCTGCCTCAGAAGCAGGCAAGCCACACTGGAGGAGAACAAAAGTAGAGGGGAGACCTGAAAACCAGAACAGACATGATTACCAACATCATATGGTGTAGATTATAAAAACAATAGAAAAATGTAGATAAGCTTTCTTCTTCTTCACATTTTTTACCACTGTGGCTGTTGAGAGCATTTTTATGTTCTTATTCTTGCTCCTATGACCATCTAGACTACAAACATATTGCACTATTAAATAGTTTTTCTAATGTTATAATTCCATTTTGTTCTTAGTCTCCATCATGATCTTCATTCCTTTCTTCTTATGGTAAATGTTTTGTATGGAATGGCATCACAAGGAATTCTGTCTGAGTGGGTAGATTTTTTTTTTTTTTTTTAAATACCATTAAGAATTGTTTCTTTACTGTTGTTTTTTAAAATACTACATTATTGATTTAGCCCCTCTGTTCACTCCTGCAGCCTTTCTCATTTCCACCATGGTTACTAATATTCTTTTCTGATTTGTTGTGAGCGACTAAGTTTGGCACTTGTTACGTTAGCTTTAAATATATAAAATTACAGTAAAATGATGTTCTGGCCACACACCTACATGAGCAAAAAGAAAACAAAAACATATATCTTAATAAAACCAAATAAAGATAAAAATGATAATAAATAAGTACATTGAGGTATTTAACAGTCTGATTTTCTGCAATCTGTTATATAAATAACTAAAAGTAATTGACAAGTATTAAATATTAAATTTCTAAATTAAAATTTGAAAAAAAAACTGTGTATCCAATTTAAAACCCAGAAGGGCTAAACAGGATATTGTTGATTAAATTATTTCTACTTCAAGCCCAGCTCTCATACAGGAGACCCAAGTTTGAATCCTTGGTAAAATGATGGAAGCTGATTCTTTTGAAGGCAAAAGTAAACATTCTTACCTAGAACTGCACTAGTCATGTGGCCCCAGATCATCAGGCTCAAGATCTACATGCCCTACACTGTCCTAAAACATGGTCAGTATAGACAATGAAGACAGTTTTGAAAGACTACTAGTGAAAGTACAATTTCACTGTGAATGTAAAAGTAAAGGTAAAGTCGGGAGATGTGAACCAGCATCATTGCACACGGTTATAAACCATAAGTGCTCTGCCACCAGTATGGACAGCTGATAAGAAACTGTCCGCCTGTGTTGCCGTCTGCACGTAACTCTGTATCTACAGCGAAGTTCCTCCATTTACCCCAGAGTGTTGACTCTGGTACCCATTTCCTAGAGGCTAGGTGAACCCCAGGAACCGCCCTGTTTTGAACACCGACCGTGGCTGCAGCAAGTCGCAGCTGGATTTGAAAGTGAGCCTCCTATCAACTGCGCTAACGCGGCCAAAAAGGAAATAAAAAAAGTTAGAGCCATTTACTTTTAAATAAACGGCTGATGTCCACGGATTTACAGATGTGCATAAACATAAGCATGTTAGCAAATTTATGCTTTTGCATAAATTCCAGAATGACATTTTCTAATTTATAGTTTAATGTTTATTCGTAGCCCATTAATGGATCCACTGTCCCCAAATTGGTGCAGAGTGGAACATGCCTCTAAGGAGAAGCAGAGGAGGTCAGTTTATTCTTTAAAACCATTATTTCTGTAATTTTCCGCAGATAATTTTTATACTAAAATTCTAACTTCTAACAAACTTATTTTGCATGAAACGCATGGGAATTGCACTTCATAGCATGATTATAAAGTTGTTTTTTTTAAAACTTATTCTGTACACAGTGTCTAATATTAGAACACTGTTCACTCATTTCCCTGTAATGAATCATATGTTAATTAATAAAGATTATGCATGTTATTGTAGTAGCAAAAACAGATTGTGTGTCAATTTTCAGTTTGAGAAATAATTATAGTCATAGCCCTAAAAAAAATTATGTACATAAGCAGTTAAATAATATTATTATCAAACAAAGTAGTTACAGAATATCTTTAAGAAACAATAGGGGGAAAAGTCTTTGAATGTTTGTTATTTTTATAATAAGCATATTGACCAATAAACTTGAATAATTTAAGTATTCTGGTATGTATCATTTACCAGTGATCTAAACATAATTTCCTTTTCAAATTTTGTTAACAGAATATTTTATCCATTAGAAAAATGTTGATACATTTCTTGTTTTCAGTCTAGCGAGAAAGCTTCCTGCTCACACAGAGAAAGAGCGAAGGTAAGTTTTCTTCTCATAGAGGGTCAGTGTTTCTGTTCATTTTTACAGTATAACATTTATACTAAGAAAATATTTTAAAGTAAATACAAAAGTAAAGATTTTGATGAAATGCCCACATTAATACATGAGAAGAACCTTGACTAAAAGAATCTAAAATGTTAGGAAAAGGTGTAAACAGCACACAGAAGAAAACATTTATAAAGCAGGCCTACTCAGATCTGTTGACAGAGACATGTTGACATAGACATGTTGTCAGAGAAATGTTGTTGACAGAGAGACATGTTGACAGAGACATGTTGTTGACAGAGAAATGTTGACAGAGAGACATGTTGACAGAGACATGCATTGAATTGAAGAGAACAAAATAGACATATATTCAGTTTCTTCAATGTTTGCCTTTAAAAGGGTGGTTGGCATGTTGTGCTGTGGTTTACAGTTAGGCTGTGGTATCAGCAAATATAAAAAAATATGTGTATTTTTATAGTGAAATTGATCATGCATTTGAAGGAATGAGAAATACCAGAAACAAATATTATATTGAGAGACTGTTATGCTAAAGTTAAAAACAATCAAGGTGATTACACAGTCCCTTATTATGGACCAATAGACCATAAATAAATATTAAGACACATTTGTAGAGAGGGAAAAAGATCATATGATTGTTGCAGACACTTGGTATTTTGAACGTGGAAGCTCTGACAAGATCAGACATCAAAACTACCTCTTAATAGACAATGTTTTCATATCTTCTTCATAGTGCTTTCATTTCAAGTTTTAAAATTGTTTACCAGATGCATAATGCTACACTAATCAAAAATTAGATATATACAAAATAAACTGAAACTAAATAGGGTGGAGTGTTTAGAAAAAGCATAAAATTAAAACCGCACATAAAGAGATAACAGATAAATTCGACGTATAATTAAAGAACAGATTTGATAGATTTCTGATCTATAAATCTGTATTAAGATGTTATTAATTAATGGGAATACATTGAAAATCCCTTTAACCCTTTCTCCCCAGTGACCTAGGAAAAACAAAGCTTTGAGCTCCTGTACTTTCAATTTTTCAGAAATTCCATAAATCCTTCAAGAAACAACCATTTTACACATGTCAGCAAGACAAATAGCACACACACAAATGTATCATACAAAATAGGAACAAATACAATAAAGAGTAGGGAATGTAATCAATAAAAAAACAAATGCAGCATAGAATCAGTTGGCTTACATCTCTTGGGGCCTGTAAACTTATTATAGCTTGACACAAATTAATCCTTTGACTGGGTCGCCCACCAACCACTGTAGCTTTGGGTGGGGGGGGGGGGGGATATTGTATATTTATTTAAATATAGTCATTTTCTCAAAAATTACGTTTTTTTACAATTATGTTAAAATATAAATGAAATAATGGTCATATAAAGTAGTTAGGACAATTCTCAGTCAGGTGAATTCATACGGCTATCTTGAAAAAGTCATAACATTTGACAGAAGATCCCTTGAAGATATTTAAACAAAAATTGCCATGGCAAAAATAGCATTGATGGATGGAAAGGAAAATACCACTGTCAGTTGCAAGAGGAAAATAGTATTAAGTGCTGTATAAAACCTGTACTGATGTAGAAATGTAAAAGGTTAGTTACTTATCTTTTAAAGGACATTGCACAACCAACCCCAGCAGCCCCTGGCTGTTGTGTGGTTTTTCTAGGCAAATTTACGTCCAGTAGTTTGCCATTGCTTTCTCGACGGTCGGCTTTCTTGATACCACTGTCGAAACCAACACAAGGCGCATGGTCCGCAGCTGGTATTGAACCTGGCATCTCGGCATTACAAAGTTTAAAGTTAGTGGAAGTGTGTTTTCTGAGGAAAATTAAAAGAATACTGTGGATTAGTAGAAGAATATACTAATGTAGCAGTTACTAAATAAACAATTCAAAATATATATTGATTATACATAGTTATGAGTTTTTTATAATGCATGTTATCAGATGAATTAATGAAACAACAAGTGACAATTGACAAACTTGATAAAAACAGTTCAAGAGGAAGAAAATTATATGAATTTCTAGATTGTTAGGTCATGTGGCTTAATCACAGACTTGATCCAAAATGCTGGTGATCATGCAAGGCTGTAAATCTGACCACCCATGCTTAGTGGTATGATGCAGGATATCATCAGCTGCACCAAGAAGCATTTATATCTTTTTCTTCTTCATTATCATTCATCAGAGTGATGTAAATCCTTTGTGCCAGTTTACAGCATAGCTGCGATATTGGCATCTTTCCACTGACACGTCTAACTCATTATATTGTTATCATGGTTAGCCTTCCCATTCAGTTTTGTGAGACATTTATAGCCTCATATGTGTGGTGACCAGTGTTACCACTTTTCTTTGACAAAAAAACATCCAAAACGGAGTTTAAAAAATATCTAGAAACATCTAAATTTGTGTGGAAACATTTAGAAAAACATCAAAATGGAAAGAGTCACAAATTACATAGCTGTGGTAAGGTAGTTTGGCGGAATTTATCGTCGCCTGGAGATCCCTTATAGTCCTTCCTAAATATTTTACAAGGCTCGAATTAAGAAAGTCTAGGGGAATTCTATCTATACAGAAAATCAAACCAATAGGGTGAATCCCCGGAATATAATGAAATACATAATTATTCTACTAACTAAATTCAGAAAACCAAAGTTCAACACTTTGTAAATTAAACTCAAATAAATCACAATGTACAATACTTCGTCTACACAAGGAATTAAATTTGATACTAAACAATGTAACTTCGATGTTTGAGTTTTAAAAAAAAACAACAATTGTATTGATATAATGCTGACTAAGAATCCTAACAAATTATTCAACTCAAAAGGAAATTAATTCATCATTCCACATGAAAAAAAAAAACCATTTCAATGTATCAACGTCACTTATCTCAGTGATCATTCAAGCTGAATACGGCATTTGTGGTATGGACAATACTCTGGTGGCAACAATTGTAGTGATTGGATATCTGCATAAGTCTTCAGTTCATTTTGGAATCTCCTTCTACAATGTTGTTAAACCATCCATAGGGTTACAGGGAACCATTATAAATCTCCCATGAATTTGTATGATTTTATTATTATTATTATTTCTTGGTGGTAGGCCGATGGAATGGCTGGGGCTGTCGTTTGGTGTAGTGGCGAATCTAGCTCTAAGGGTTTCTCCTACCAACACCAAGAAAACGTCAGAAGTTATGTGCGCCTTCGTACATTTTCTACTCTTCTCGCATCTATATTCAACTATGTTTATTTTAAGTGCACAATTCTTTTAACCACAAGATGCAATTAACTCTTGCCGGACTGAAATATTCTGTTGGTTTGTCACAATAGCAATTGATATGACTTACCCTAAAGAATCATGTCCTCATCTTTACTGAAGTCTGCCTCGCGAGATCATAGGATAAAGTTAGCTTAGATGATGAAGTTGAAGCTTCAGATCAAAAATGACTCTGGTATGCTTTAGCTGTTCCATTTTCTTTTAATACCCAATAAGGGGGCTGAAAAGTGGAACAGCCCTTTCCTACTCTTATCAGGCTGAATTTTATTGTCAAGAGGTCAAATTTCAACCTGTTTCTTAGGTTAGATTTGATAAATTCACTTTAAATAAAAAACCTCTAGAAAAACCTCTACCATCTAAATGTCAAAAAACGCCATCTAAATGCAAGGGAAAACATCTAAATTTGACTGTAAAACATCCAAAGTGGCAACACTGGTGGTGACTTCGTCATCCTCTGATCCATGGGTATTGTCTCTAGAGGACCTTTCCATGGCAGACACATGCAGGTTGGTCAACCCTCCGGGGAAGGCAGGGGGAGAGCTTGGTTATTATGACTGCATAACCTAACATCTGTATCTAGAGCCTTCCACTCATTACCATCTGTTGCACCCTTCTGCAGGTCTGCAAACCTGAGATTCGGATCCCTGCACAAATGGGAATCATACTTCTCTCTTTGACATTAGCATCTTTCACTTTTTTTTCCTGTATTTATTGGCAAGAAAGCAGCAGGCATGCCTTGCTTGTACAGTCATTACACACTGACAAGTGTGGCCACTCACAACAAAAATAAAAGAAAATTAGTAACCATGAAAATGAGGTGTCTGAAAAAAGCTGTAGGAGTGACCAGAAGAGATAAAATCAGGAATGAGGTCATATGAGATAAAGTAAGCACAGAACCTATTCTAAATTACATAGAAAGACAGGAAATCAAATGGTTTGTTTGCCTACTTGGAGAGAACACCTTCTGATGCTATACCATTCAAGGCATATACCAAAAGAGGAGAGGGACGTAGAGCAAGAGGTAGACCAAGAACAATATGGAAGAGCAACGTCCAACTCTATAGTACCATGATGTG